ACCCCACCCCCACCCCCCTCGTAAAAAAAAAAAAAAAAAAAAAAAAAAAATTCTTCCTTATGTCCAGTCTAAACCTGCCCTCGTCCAGATTAAATCTATTGCCCCTTGTCTAGTCACTACAGGCCCTAGGTAAGAAGTTTCTCTCCATCTTCCTTATAAGCCCTCTTTAAGTACTGAGAGGCCACAATAACGTCTCTCTGTGCCAAAAGGTCATAATATTGTAGGTTTTTGAGTTGATTTTCAGTTCTCTGGGCCAGTCCCAGATTTCTGTCAAGAATTTTCAGTTGCAAAGACATGGCTTTCATTGGTACTTAGGAGCTACCTTTAGGTAAAGCAGAAATTGTGAAATTATAGTTTTCATGACGAATACACAAGTAACGACTGTATATGACCTGATTACAGAGCAGTTGTAAATTAACAGGATACAAAATAGTTTTAGAGTGCAAGCATTGCACTTAAAGCACAGAACAATGACAAATTGAGCGTGAAGTCAAAAAAGAAAGTGTAGTTACGTGATTAAAGTCCTTATCCTGCAGACATTAACACTGATTAAAGCTACATGGGGGCTCCTGTGAAGTAGACAAAAATCACACCCAAGTGATGAAACTGGTATTTAAAGATCCATAGGTACATAGCACAGTTCCGTGCAACCCTCTCCCTAAAACGTTGCGATAAATAATGGTTTTGTATGAATTGGTACAAACCTCTACTACTGAAGCTGCTTTTGTTTCATTAATAAAAACATTTGAAAGTTAAGTAATTAAACCAGTGAAGTTTCTTCCTGCAAAGCACATTCCCAGATAAACCCTGTATTTTCTTCTTCCTGAAGAATTCCTGAATTCATAAGAGATTTATTGTTTATTATAATGAACAACTTGTTCTCAAACGAGAAAATTACAAAGCATGAATTCTGCTCTTTGTTTCACGTCTTCAAATAAGAGATGAAGTTATCAGTCAAAGATCCTGCTGTAAGGTGTTGCATTAAGACTGTTGAATAGTTGACCTCTTCCTTTGCAGACAGGAAGTTCTTGATCAGTGTTTTTTCTGTTTAGGATATATTTGACAGTGACTGGTACACCTCCCGCAGTCTCATTGGAGGAGCCGATATTGTTGTGATTAAGTACTCTGTCAATGACAAGACTTCATTTCAAGAGCTAAAGGACAGTTACGCCCCAATGATAAAAAAAGCATTAAACCACTGTTCAGTTCCAGTAATAATTTCTGCCATTGGTGCAAGAAAGAACGGTATGTATCCAGTCTCCGGTAGTAACAGCTAAAATCTACCTTGGAAGTTAGAGATGCTGTAATTTCAGTAGAAGCTGATTGTTTTTCCAAGTTGTTAATGGAAGCAATTAGTCTGTCAGGATGACAGTAATATGTGCATGTATTATGGTCATGTAGGCTGGTGTATTGGCAAGAACATCACGCTTAATTACCCCTGGCGATGAAAGGCATCCTATCCTGCTTTGACCTCTGCAGCAATTCTTCCTGTGGAGCCACAGTACACGGGGATTTCATCTGGTGCCTTGGACATTTGAGCGTTGAGATGGACCCTATGGTTATCAGTTCTCTCTAGTCACGTCTCAAGAATAAAATATCTCTGGCATATGAGGTTAAAACAAAGTCCATCAGCTTGCAGCTGCTGGAGGTGGGGTGGGAAAAACCTCCAAATTCTCTAGGATGTCGTTGGATGAATGGAGATACCAGCCCTTTGGGTACCACAAAGTGCCACATGCTGCTGCGCCAACAGAGCTGACCTGCCACAGCAGAGTAGCTGTGATATAGCTATGGCAGGGCTTGTGATATAGCTATGGTAGGGCTTATGATATAGCTATGGCAGGGCTTATAACATAGCTACAGCAGGGCTTACATGCTCACACAATGCCCTGTCCAGGCTGATCGGCTGTCTGCTATCAGCATGGTGCAAATTGACTTTACACTGAACACTTAACTGGCACAAATTGTTGCTGCTGCTGTCTAATCGATATGAAAATCAAAGTTGCTCAGCAGTGGAAGGACCACGTGGACTTACAAAGTGTCCAGCAGCCAACGAGGGCAGTGCTGGTGAGAACACGTTCACGGTTTGGATAGACATTGGTAAATTCTGCCTGTTTACATCGGGGACATAAAGTTGGAAAGAAAACCACAGGCACCCATAGAACAAACATGCAAACTTTATTCTGTATTTCCAAACTTTTCACATTGTGCTTTCGTTGATTTTCATATGGCCTTTATACTTGTGGGGCCTGATTTTTAATTATTTTTTTCCTAAAGCAATGAATGCAAAGCTTGAGCCAGTGAGTTGTCTTTTACTTTATGGTTTGACTAAAACAAGTGTTTCTGAGTATCCCTCCTGCTGTGAGTAAGGGACATGATGGATGTAGATGTAGACGTCTATTCTATAATGTACAAATACTAAGCTACATGAAGTGCATCTTCTGTGGGCGTAATACCAGGGTCTGCTTATATTTTGCTCAGTGACTGAGAAAGGCCTGTGAAAGAACTCTATAACAATTGAATTTTATTCTCTTCCCTTTAATAATTCACTGATAATGACAAAATGCTGTTATGCTCTGATTTATGCAGGGGTAATTACCCTGCCATTCTAAAGGCAAGGTCTCACTAACATAATGTTTGTCTTCCCCAACCCCTTTTCTTGCACTTTTTATTTAAGCACACGATACCACCAGTCTGAGTGACTCCACTGCTCCCCTTTTTTTTTCCTGTCTTCCTCCCTAAGTGATGCGGCCATGGGAGAAGTGAGGCTCCCCAGTCGCAGTCTCACTTTGGGATCTGCTGGAGCAGGCTGCCGTGCAAGGCACAGAGCCCTTTTGTTCTTAGGAGGTATGCATGAGCCCAGCAGTCTGCTCGTACAAATTACTAAGGTCTTAATCCCCTATAGTAGTGAATGGTGCTGCCAAGAGGAATAAGAAAAAGCTATGTTATTACATGTTATCCATAGGTCTGAGCAGGGGAAGTCAACGCAGGGCATGCACGATGTGTTTGAAAGCACATCCATCGCCAGCAAGTTCTTACCAGCATTCAGCAAAGTTGAGCCAGGGTGGTGAATGTTTTTATCAGTTAGCTGGCATAATCTTAAAAAATACCTGGTTTGGATTAAAAAAAAAAAAGCAAAATCTGTGTTAATGAAATCATACTCCTCAGTACGTGCATGCCCCTAGCAGCCGGGGCTGCCTGGAGATTTTTCCCTCCCGTTACTGTGCATGCTTCCTGCACAGACAGGCCACAATAATTAAACAAGTTTAAGGGTGACATTAATGAATGGTAGCACCTGCAGGTAGTACAACACCCGTGCATATATGGATACCGAGGCCCTAAGCCATACCCGACGTCTGGAAGTCCTGCTTGACTTTCCCGCCTTAACCAAACATAATGTGAGCTGAGCTTTGTATATCAGCTAGTCTTCTGAACTCATTAATAAGCTTGGGGTTTTGCAGCGATTACAGATTTCTTGCTATAAAATGACTATGTTTCCATTTCCCTTTTTGTCCTTTTCCAAATAATGCATCTTTGCAATTATTTAGAAAGGTAAGTGTTCTGGATTGTTTGTCAAAAATGGCTTTTTTGTGTGACATTTTACCCCAGGAGTGCCTTGCACCTGCCCCCTGTGCACTTCAGACAGGAGGAGCTGCGTCACCACCTCTGAGGGCGTGCAGCTGGCCAAGGAACTGGGCGCTACGTACCTCGAGTTGCACACTCTTAATGACTTCTACATACAGAAGTACTTTGGAGGAGTGGTGAGTGAGAAACCCCGGGGCTACAAGCAGGGTGGCACACATGGGAGGTGCATGGCCCATGTCAGGGCTTGGGAGAGTGAGCAGAGGCAGGCCACGAGCCCTCCCACCGAGGGCAAGTTCCGACCAATGCTAGATTCAGGCTAAATGTAGGGAAGAAATTCTTTACACTGAAGGTGGTGAAACCCTGGCAGGGGTTGCCCAGAGCGGTGGTGGAGGCCCCATCCCTGGGACCATTCAAGGCCAGGTTGGACGGGGCTGTGAGCAACCTGGTGTGGTTGGAGGATGTCCTTGATCACTGCAGGGGGTTTGGAATGGATGAGCTTGAAGGTCCCTTCCAATGTGAACCATTCCGTGATTCTATGATGCTAGCTGACTTGACGGTACCGAGGTTGCTCCTGTTTTACGTACCTTCTGGGAAGGTTTAGGAAAGCCATAGTACACACTGCAATGATTTTCCCCCTCCTATTCCTGTCCTTTTATCTTGTTGGGTGGGATAATCAAAACCCAGCTGTACAAGGCACTTGACAACCCCCTCCCACTTTGAAGATGAGTCCTGCTTTGAGCAGATGCCCTGACTGGGTGACCTCCACAGGTCCCTTCCGAGGCAAATTATTCCATAATATCCTCGTATTTATTATTTTAATTGCTCAAACTCTCACGGCTGCTGCACTTGTAAAGTGAGACAGACAAGATTGTTGAAGTGCCCAATTTTTTAGCGTATTTTTGTGGCCACTCAGTTTGCAGTCGCGACACAGTTTGTGATCCTGAGCAGACCCTGGGGTCAAATGGAGCGAAGCTGAACAAGGCAGAAGCTGAGAGACCCATTAAGATGCCGCAGCTCTAATGAGCTTGTTCTTTTTCCTCTCTCCTGAAGACAGGGAAGCCCACTGAGCAGTTTTTGAATACAGTCTTTCAGGTCTATTCGTCTTCTCTGCAAATTTTTTTCACAATTATATTTAATTTTCAGTTTTCTGAGGTGTTTTAAGCTCAGCCTTTTTTGGAACCTTTTGGTTACTTTCCCAGTGGCGTCTGGGCTCGAACCAAAAAACACAGCTCTTTTGGTACAGTGATCTCACGTGGTCGGTACTGTTGTTGTCCCTGGTGTATAAGTGCAGTGCGTTTCCATGGGATGTGATGGTCACTTGGAATATCTGGCACAACAGTTAGCCAGTCTTTATTGGATCCACTCATTCCCAACTAAAAAGCTCTACTCAACATCTGGTCCAGACAGAGCATTTTCCCAGTTTTTAGGAAGCACTATATGTGCTACAGTCATACCCTGGGCAATAAAAACATTTAAGACATGCGTTAACTCAAACAGGAGCACCCCTTGTGCCTCTTTGTTGATGCAAAAGGGATGATTTCCCCTCAGTATGCTTTTATTGCAATGATGACGCTTGCAGTCTCTCCCAGTGAAACAAACCTTGCCCACGAAGGTCACCCTGCGATGCGCGTTTTTCAGAGGGCACCATAGCAGTGCGTGGTGGTGGTGGTTAGTGTCAAGCCAAAGAGCTCCATAGGGGTTTGCTATTTCCATCACCTGCACCTGATGGTTACCCACCAAGTCTTATTCTTCTCCGTAATTCTGTAATTTGCATCTACGGAAGCTGGTAGATCGAATAACTTTGGGCCTGTTGTTTCTGGGAAGATTAAATACCAGAGAATTAACCACTGCCATTTGAATGAGTAGCCTTTTAAGTTGTGGTAATTCCAGCTGCATTTGGTACCGTCTGCTGGTAAAGGAGAGTTGGGACTCAGTGACCTGATGACTGTTCATAGCAGCAGCAGCCTCAGTCCTGCACACAGCACCCACCCGTTCTCCTTAGTTTGATGTCTAGGTTGTTCTTAAATCACTAGGATTTTTTAAAAGTAAATTTCATGTTTTAGCTGGAATATTTTATGATCCAAAGTTTGAATCAGAAGTCATCTGAAAAAATGAAGAAGAGGAAAAAGACGCAGAAGTGCCATCGAGTTCAACCACCTCAGCTTGAACAGCCAGGTGCTCGCTGATGTCTGGTCTCTAGTATCGTTCATTATGTGTGTCGTGTTCCTTGCACTATTAATGCTTTGCAATGATTACTGTGTGCTGTGCTATCTGTCGTCAGCTATTCTAGTCATCTTGCTCTAATTGCATCAGCTTTTAGTGATGGCTTAATTCATTTGGGGAGAATTGTATAGCAATATGTAACATTGCCGTGGACTTCTAATTTATTTTAGACAAAATAATAGGAGTGGGTTTATGGTGCACTTAAATAATGAAAACATGAATTAATAAGAGCTTTACATAAAATCTTTACAGACGAATTATAAAAGAAAGTCATTACCTCATGCTTTTTATTCTACAGTATCATCAAGTAATATTTTTATTTGCTGCAAATAAAACAAGGGAGAGGTGTCTGCCTGTGCACGTGATTTCTGAGCATCTGATGTATTTTTTCAGTGAAATAATCACTGACAAGTACTTACCTCTAAATATGCAGTTGCCTCTTCCCAGGCAGAAGAAATGTACCAGAAATTCACTCGGATCCCTTAGGTTTGGGATTGCCAGGCAAAGTTTCTTTCAAATGTAAGTGCCTTAAAGAAATTTCATGGAAGGATGGGCACTTTTTACTAAACTAAGTATTTCTTGTATTTCTCATTTTACTATACAAATATTTCCATTTTATTTTACTTAACATATTCAAATGGCATATAAGAAACTTCCATATTGAATACTTCTTTCAAAAATTGTCCTTCATTTGATCAGATCTCTGGGAATAGAGTTGGTCTGTGGTTAACACTTGCTTCAGTTCTACAGCCTGACTTGTTATCTTTCACAGAAAAAATGCCAATCTTAAAGGGCGAAGCCTCACACTACGACGCAGACCTGCACAACCTGCTCTGCTGCTGCCAGTGTGCGGACGTGGCGTTTTACCCCGAAGACCTCAGCACGGTGGTGGAGGCTCACAAGATCATCCTCTGCTCCGTCAGCCACCTCTTCATGCTGCTTTTCGAGGTGAAGAGCCCCGCCGATATCCATGATGCCTCCATCGTGCGGACAGCGCAGAGCCTCCTGTGCCCCACCGGTGAGGGTGATGGTGAAGGACTCCGTCTTCTGCTCTTGTCTGCCAGTCATCCTCCACTTCATTTATTCAGGTACCCCCCAGGAACAGGTCCAGCTACTCATTTCTCATACAGGTGATGTCTCACAGAGGAGTACGTGCATCACCCAAAGGAACATGCCTTTGCCCTTGGGAGACAATGTTCTGCCATGTCACTACATCTATTTTATCCCTTGTGATTATGATGAACCACCTCCATATGAAATAAGCCCTTCGCCTAGATTCAATTAAAATTAAATTAGTTGTCACTCCAGATCCAGTGAACGTAAATCAAGCGCAATATTTTACTGAACAAAGTCCGTAAGCTAGCATCATTAGAATTCAAAAGCTTTGCCAAAAAAGTCATAGGATCACAGAATCGTTTGGGTTGGCAAAGCCCTTTAAGCTCCCCCAGCCCAACCGCCCCCCTACCCCTGCCATCCCACCCCCAAACCCTGGCCCTCAGCACCGCCTCTGCCCGGCTGTTAAATCCCCCCAGGGCTGGGGACTCGACCCCTTCCCTGGGCAGCCCCTTCCAGCCCCTGACAGCCCCAAGGGGAAGGAATTGTTCCCCATGGCCAACCTCACCCTGCCCTGGCACAACTTGAGGCCGCTGCCCCTCGTCCCATCGCCCCTTCCCTGGGAGCAGAGCCCGACCCCCCCCGGCTCCCCCCTCCTCTCAGGCAGTTGTAGGGAGCGATGAGGGCTCCCCTCAGCCTCCTCTGCTCCAGGCTGAACCCCCCCAGCTCCCCCAGCCGCTCCCCAGCAGCCTGGGGCCCCAGACCCCTCCCCAGCTTCATTGGTCTCCTCTGGACACACTCCAGCACGTCTAAAAATCGAGAGTTTGAGACAGTTTCCTCCCCCTTTAATCCCTGGGAGCACTGTGCACAGTTCTGGGCTCCCCAGTTCAAGAAAGATGAGGAACTCCTGGAGAGAGTCCAGAGGAGGGCAACAAGGATGATGGGGGGACTGGGGCATCTCGCCTACGAGGAAAGGCTGAGGGAGCTGGGCTTGTTCAGCCTGGAGAAGAGAAGGCTGAGAGGGGATCTCATCAACACCTACAAATATCTCAAGGGTGGGGGTCACGAGGATGGAGCCAGACTCTTCTCAGTGGTGCCCAGCGCCAGGACAAGGGGCAATGGGCACAACCTGAAGCAGAAGAGGTTCCAGCTGAATGTGAGGAAGAACTTGTTGACTGTGAGGGTGCCCGAGCCCTGTCCCAGGCTGCCCAGGGGGGCTGTGGAGTCTCCTTCTCTGGAGATCTTCAACCCCCGCCTGGCCGCTGTCCTGTGCCCCCTGCTCTGGGTGAGCCTGCTTGGGCAGGGGGGTGGCACTGGGTGAGCTCCCCAGGGCCCTGCCAGCCCCGGCCGTGCTGGGATTCTGTGTGATTCTGTGATTTCAGGCTTTTAAAATATTTAAAATGGCTGCATGTTCTAAACACGTGGATGAGTGTGCAGTGTTACTTAAGAAAACTCAAGTGTTTTCTCTTCTGGGTATGGTGCTGCTGAAGAGAAAACGCTGATACCTGTCTGGAGAGCAGGAGCCTCTGATGTGTTGTTTGTGTTTTGCTGCCAATTCAGTGCAGGCAGTGTCCTCACCTACCTGATCCCAGCTGTCTATTGAAAGGGCACTGATATTTTTCTATCTTTTAAAGTGTTGCTTTGGAACCCTCTGGTGAAAGATTTTTTTTTTGTTCTGGAAGTAACTGATACCCATTTATTCTTCATAAAATATTTTTCAAGATGTCAATACATAAGAATATCTATTTTATATTTGTCAAAATAATTAGCAGGATTTTTAATGATGCATTCTGATTTTAACTGTAATAAAAAAAAGCCCGAAATAATTACGTCATTAGAGCTGCATCCATACAGCAACTTAGTCAATCTCTGTAGGCTGATTACTGCCTGACACAGGAAAAACATTTCTGCCTTAGTAGCTGAGGCATGAACACTGTTGTGAAGACACAAGGGGGACTCTTTCAGCTGTCAGTCAGAGTTCATACATTGAGAACATCCCTTTCAGTTCTTTCCAAACCAGTGTCAAACCTAAAAGCAGAGGCAGAAGTTTTTCAGTGTGAATGGATTGATTTTTTTATTTATTGGTGAGTTGAACAGAGGATTAAACCTGGAATCTCAGCAGGTGAAAGATGAGTGTGCCTGCTGCCTTCTGCGTATTAATTTTCCTTCTGCTTATGCCCACCAAAGAGGTGGGGAGCGTTGTGCAGGTGTAGGTGAAACTCTGCTGTAAGTCACAGCTCCCAACCTGGAGGACATTGTCAGAAGTCTTAGAATCACAGAATCATAGTACCCTAGGTTGGAAGGGACCTCAGGGATCATCTGGTCCAGCCTTTCTAGGTAGGAGTACTAAGTCATTGTTCTGTTTAGTACCTTTGAGAGATGACGAGGTCTTTCAAAGATGTTTAAGGCACGGGCTGAGAAGAGATCAGCTCATGAGGCAGTGTCATCATCTTCAGCCTCTCAGGACGTTATGTCCATGAGGTTACAAACTCTCACCACCCGTATGGTGTACACAGGAGCTGATAGAGCTCAAGGCACTGTCTGAGATTTTTCCGCAGCCTTCAGGGCTACGCTGGCACCTGCTTGACCCTGAGCTTTATCTGCCTCTGACTCTTCCTTCCTCCACAGCCCTGGGGATAGGAGCTGAAGGTTACCAAAAAGCCCCGTGGTGCCGTTGAGACTTACAAGGTGTATAAGGATAAACTGTGTTTGTTTTAACACCGGTCAACACTTTCGATTTTTCCAAGAAAGCTTTGAGAGACTCTCATGGGTTTGACTCTGAAAACAAAAAAAAAAATTAGAAATTCCACCGCAAACTTTGCACTGTTTTTATCTACCAGCATTCAGAACGTAGCTGTGAATGAAGCTTTTCTGGCTCAGACACCTGCATAGCAATGCAACCAGCAATATGAGCAGAAGCTAAAGATCTCCCATAAATATTGAAACATTCAGGATTTTTTTCTGAATGTCTACGTGCAGTTTGTGGTGACTGATCTGGGAGGAATCCAGAAATTTTGAAAGGATTTTGAAAGGAGGGGAGATGCCCTGATCTGTCTGCAGTAGATTGCATTCTCGTCAAAGTACCATGGAAGTTTTTGTGTGCAGGAGTTGCGTCTTGCCCTTACTAAGCACAATGATCTGGCTGATTTACGTCCAAAATGCTCAGCTTCTGCAGGATCTGTTTGGCATTGCTATCATCTTTTCTCTGCCTGCAAAGGCCTGTGCCATGTCGAAGTGTAATCCAACTTTACCTGGGCTTGTGGCAGGTGCTTTCCAGTGGGAACGATTGGAAGAGGATATAAAAAAGAAGTTGAAGGATCCAGAAAAAACTGAACATGTGCTCGAGAAAGTTAAGTGCATCCTGAAAACTCCAGGGAAGGTACATCTAACTCTCTCGGGGTAGCTGTTAGTATCAGTCACTTCAGCTCTTGGGAAACTGCTTTGTAAGCAAGGTTTCCTCATCAGTCTTTGCTTTAAAGTCACTGTGGCTTACACAGCTTTTATTGCTTTATCAGTGGGTTGTTCACGGGCACGTGCAAAACAGAAAGACAGAGATGCTGATGTAGTGTGCAGAATTACTGTCAGCAGTAAAAAGCACACAAGTAGGCAACCTAAAGGGATTGCTGATATTCACAGCTTTGGGCATTGTCTAACAATATTAGTTCCTAATTCTCTTGTGTTAGGGGCTGCCCAGGAATGATTTGCTTTCCTGAGCATGTGCCAAAAGTTATGTTTCTGCAGTAGGTCAGGAGAGTTGGTTTCTCTTCTTAGTGTTGTGGTGTGGGAATCTGTCTATAGCCCAATGTATTTAATGGAGCTGATGACTTCACAGGAAAATGTAATTTATATCACATTATTCTGTTAATTAAAAGTTGCTAAAGTTACTAAAAGTTACTGTAGAATTAGTTTTAGAAGAATAGAATTAGTTTTAAAAAACATTTGCTGATGGAGTTTATATGTTCCCCAATACTATAGAACCTCCACAAAGTAGTTCTGTCAATTTAAATAGAAAATCATCTCAGACCATCTTGAGATAACATAGAAAGATTAAAAAGTTTCTTAGCTGTTTTAAGCTTCTGATTGCTCATCTGTAGGCTTGTCAGTCCTAAGCACCCAGAGCTAAAACATTCATAGGACTGGCCTTAGAAAGTCCTAGAAACGTTTAAGATAATAAGCCTGTGCTGTTGTTATTTCTTCTGGAGTTTGGTTATGATATTTTTATTTCACTTTTAAAAGTTTTCCTCTGAAGGCATGGGGACTAGAAATGAATTGTGATTTTCTTGATAAAAATTAATTATATAAATTAGATAAAATTTTAACCATAAATTCAACCTCATCTGAATTTCACTTATCACAGTCTAGCCACGTGGTTTTGATGTTGTTCCTCTTGGTAGCTTTAGATTCCACTTTTAAAGTAAGAAAAAACCCTCTGAAAAACTAACTGAAAGTACTGGGCTTTGGAGGGTCTTGACGCCAGCATGCCTGGATTACTGTAGGAGAGGTCCGTGCTTCAGCCTGTGAGCACCCCCTGCCTCTGCAGAGGCAATATCAGGGCAATACCATCAGGGAACACACAACTTCTGGCTGCCTTGCACCCCTACGCGGCATCACGCCAGGGGGTGGATGCGTGTCCCATCGGTCCTCACCCCAGAGCCCTCAAACCTTGTGGTTCTTCAGCCTTGGGTCCGAACAGACCATGTATGAGAAAGTTTGGAGTCCAGAAAATCCGTGTTATGGTCAAACCTGCCCAGAGGAGCTGGATGGGGGAGTTTTGTCACAGGTTGGAGAGTACCAAGGCAAGGGCTGGGGTGTAAGGGTAGGAGGCAGAGATGCCCTGGAGCTGCTGCATTGTGGGAAATGGGAAAAGAAACCCTAAAGATGATTGCAGGGGGTTGCATGTGTGACAGGCATGACTGCGTAGTGTTAGCAAAAGAACATAAAGGAGAGAGCAAAAGGCTGTTGTTTAGTTTCCCCATATAAATGATGTCTTGTAATCTGTTATTCTGTGGGCAGCTCTACATGACAGTACTTTAATAATAATTTATTTTACAGCTAAACACTGTACGAGACTGCAGATCTCACCAGATAAAACGGCTGTATAATACTTCTCTCAGGCTGTTCTTTAACACGCCTGTCCTAGCCGACGTCATCTTCAAAATACAAGGTACGGTACCTCTGCTCCCATCAACGTGGGCACTCCTCCACCTCCAGCATTCATCCTCTCTGCAGGGAAGTGGGAAATGGGGGTGACCATATTTGCTGTTGCATCAAAACTGATAAGACCTGTACGCTTTGCTGTCACCGCGGGAAGCAGTTTTTGCTTAGAACGAACACGTCTCCCCGTGGGTGCTTTACAGCAGTGTCCACTCTCAGCCAGGTTTATCAGGGCTGAGCCTGTATGAATGCCCTTTGCCTGCCCTGGTAGGCTTTGTGCCTCTCTGGTTCACAAGCGCCCTTCGAAGGCTTAGCAAAATGAGGGATGTGCTGCAGGAAAGGCTCCTGCAATGGCATGGCACCATGGTAGTAAGGGGTGAACCAGAGACTGCATCACAGGGGATGGATATTTTTATCTTAAAACTTATTTATCTCGCTCATGTTCCCACCTGTACAAGCACCAGGACATATCTGAGGGCCCTGCCCAGCATCAAACCTCAGAGAGGTGTGGACTGCGGTGGCCATGCCTACTGTTGTTGCCCTTGGTGAAAAGACCAGAGTTGCTGGTTAGCGACTCCTGACCACCTACCCTCTGTCCGTCTCAGGCTGGCGCTGGCTGTGGATGGGCCTTTCTCTACCCTCCAGAAGCTGATGGGGACTTAACGTCCCACTCCTGTGCCTCCTCTGGCTTTATTCACTGCCCTTTTTCCCCCAGCACAGGCATCCCCAGAAATGCAGGTGTGCTCCAGATGTGCTGGAGCTTTTCCGACCTGCTAATCTCGCTGCCTTCAACACCTGCAGCGGTTTACTGCCCTTCCTGATGCTCCCATACCAGTCTTCATGCTTCTGTCAAAGGTCTCTGCAACTTAGAATCACAGAGTGGTTTGGGTTGGCAAAGCCCTTTAAGCTCCCCCAGCCCAACCGCCCCCCTACCCCTGCCATCCCACCCCCAAACCCTGGCCCTCAGCACCGCCTCTGCCCGGCTGTTAAATCCCCCCAGGGCTGGGGACTCGACCCCTTCCCTGGGCAGCCCCTTCCAGCCCCTGACAGCCCCAAGGGGAAGGAATTGTTCCCCATGCCCAACCTCACCCTGCCCTGGCACAACTTGAGGCCGGTGCCCCTCGTCCCATCGCCCCTTCCCTGGGAGCAGAGCCCGACCCCCCCGGCTCCCCCCTCCTCTCAGGCAGTTGTAGGCAGCGATGAGGGCTCCCCTCAGCCCCCTCTGCTCCAGGCTGAACACCCCCAAAGCCTTGTGCAGGTGCCTAGGTTAGACCTGCCTATTGCTTAACCCTACAAGTGTGAAAAGAAACATGTAAATTATTAGTGTTTTGGGTTTTTTTTTAAAAAAAAGTCTGTTGAGATGATGGTAATTACCTATCCCTCTTTGTGGCCAGGATTAAAAAGACATGGGGATCAGAGGCTGGCTTTCTGTGCTGGCGTGTCTGCAACAGACCACTAAGTTGCAAAGGTTGTTGGTGGCGTGACATAGGTTTGCCCGCAAGATGCCCAGTGCTCCTCGGCAAAGGCACAGGCAGAAACCGCGCTGGTGGAACAGCTTTTTGTTCCCTTTTGCTCTGCAAAGAATGTGCTTGGGTGCACCAATATGTTTCAGTGTCATGGTTGTTTTTTTCTGGAAATTAAAGGCATTGACCCTTAAAAATAAAGATATGGGGCCGGGGGGGAAGTAAAAAGAGTTACGTACTTCTGTGAGGATGAGATGGCTTTTAAACGCTAATGATTTTCTCGATTTGTCCATGCCCACCCTTTGTGCAGAAATGGTCTTTTAGGATTAGACAACTGTTTAATTATTTTCAGCTTTGAATCTCAAAGCCAAATGTGAAGCATTACTCCTTCAAAGATGAGCACATGAGGACAAGCAGATTCTTTCTAGATGTTCTGTTTAATATGCAGAAAAAATCCAAAAGATCTTTGAAAATGAGGACAAAATACTGGTCCTGAGTTTAGTGACATGAATGATTCATCTCAGCGTCCCACTCCTGAGAGAGACTTCGTGGGGAGTTGGTGAATCCATACCAACCCTATCTATTTGACAGAAAAAAACCTACTGCCAAGTGGGTGACAAGTATTTTAAAAGAACCTGTGCTTGTCCACTACTAAAATGGGAAAGGTTTTTCCTAATGCTTGGTAAATCTTCCAAGACTTTTCCCCTAATTCACCAGCCACAATAATTGTTTTAACATTAAATAATTACTGAGAGAAACTGAAGTCTTCAGTCTTGATCAGGCAAATACATTTTTAAGTCTTCAAGTACTTCCTTGAATATTGGGGGCTGCTTTGCGCTTTCTAGCTTACAAAAGCGCTTGCGAACTTTTGAAAATAGGAGCCCGTTATGTCTGTGTAAAGCCTCGTAATGTGACTGAACCTCCTAATTAGTAGGTAAATACCCAGCCACATGCACGTACAAGAGTGTGCATGTATCTTACATCATGTCTGCATTGCGCAGTGCTCACGTTACGTGCGCAGGCCTAAAATAGCATGGATGTGTTTTCTCTGTACAGAGATACGTAAACTTTGTATGCACCTTAGACAATCTGGGATGGAAGCGCGGGTGCGCAGACATAGAACAGAAACAACAAAGTGCCAGATGTCTTCAAGGAATTAAGCAGGTGGCAGGGCTGTGACTAAGGATGAAATTAAGACAGTAACTTCTATATGGGCATTTACAGTGCATTTGTCTTGAATGCCAGTTGATTTGTTTGTTATACTTCTGATTAAAGCATTTCTATCTGACTGCACGTTCTCATTCTGCCTTTGGCTGCTGTCCTGCCTGGCTCTGCAGAGGTCTGAGCGCGGGGCTGGCACCTCAGGCTGTCAACGTTTTCGTTAGGAGCCTGTAAGACCCCTACTGTTAACCTCCTGTTGGCCTCACTAGGTCTTGCAAATGCTGCAGTGAAGTACGCGATTCACTTGCAAATATTAAAAAATGGAAAAAATGGCTGGAAAAAATTTATCAGCGTTACTTTCATAAGACAACCATCAGGAAATTCACTTAGGCAAAGCACTTAATCTGGCTAAATTCATACTTAATGGGTTTAATGGAATTCCATCTGCGATAATCTGCCTTTCCCTGCTTTTTATGTGAAAGTTTGACTTCCGGAACACACACTCATTACCAATGGGACGACTGATGAACATAAATTGCTCATTTGCATAATAGACCACAGCACTGCATATTTATGCAATGGGCCAGAGGTTCGGCTCGTGTAGACTGGTGTAACTCCAGTGGTGTCATTTATACCAGTTTCAACAAGGCTGGTTTTGGCTGGCGAAAGTTTGCCCTATTTGGAGCCCATTGTGTGGGGAGCAGGTTGTCATAATAAATTTGGCATTTCATCTCGTCTGCTGGTGGATATGAGGCAGGTGCAAACATCTTGCCTCATTAATTATCAGTTGGATGCTGTTAATTTTAAACACCCTAAAATTGTTTTAAGTCACGTTCAGTGCAATGAAGGCCTTCTAAGGTAATATGAGCTTTAAACTCAAGATATTACAGTGTATTTACATCATTATATGTTTTGTCTTGCATCCCACAGGTGCAACTGTACCAGCCCACAGAGCAGTTCTGGTAGCTCGCTGTGAGGTAATGGCAGCTATGTTTAATGGTAATTATCTAGAAGCAAATAGTATTCTGGTTCCGGTGTATGGGGTTTCCAAAGACACTTTCCTCTCCTTTCTAGAGTATCTTTATACCGACTCCTGCTGCCCAGGTAAGAAAATTTTAAAGTACACATATATCTGTTACTCATTTTTCCGCAAGGGGGGCATTGTTAGAAAACAATGTAGCAGCATTTATTTCATTGAAAAATGCAAATATTTTCATGAATAATGTCTCAAGAAAGGGAACTTGTTCATATTGCACAATAAGAAAATAAATCAGTCTTATTCAAGTAAAGTCAGCTGGAGACAGAACAAATATCACTGTTTCGTGCTTATATGGCAAGACTCAGAAAACTGTGAAATTTAATTTCTGGTCCATTACAATATTTGGAATTTTCTTTCTACATCAAAATAATATTGCTTTCTAATCTTAATTCTGGGGTTTATTTCAAAATTGTCACTTTGTTTAGCATATATTATGTTAAGTTTAATATAGACAAGGTTAAATTGCAAGAATAACTTATTTATACACATGAATATCTTATTTGCATGTAAAACCAGAAAAAATATGTCAACTGCAGTATTTAGCAAGAAAAATTGAGCTGAAGTATTCTTTGTGTCTTAACCTTTGTCTTTTTTAAGGAGCAGAAAATATAAATGCTAAATATGGACTATGATTTAAATACAGATAACTTTCCTTTGATATAATGAATGAATGAATGGTGGTGTGATATGTATTGTTGATTTTGTCTTCTTTTCAAATAATTCTCCCTTATTCTTAGGTTTCCCATACGTTTCTCTTTCCAGTCTGTTTAACTTCTCCTTGTCTGTCAGTTTAAATATGCAACCCATGTACCGTGGTTTTTAAAAATATGCTAAGATGTCCTGTTTTCTCTTTGGCCTTTTCACAATGTTTCTTCATACACGTGTCATAGAGACTCTTTTTTAAAAAGAGAAGTTAAAAAGCTAAACCCTCTTGTTAATCACCACTTACTTTAAATAGACCAGCAGAGCTTGACTCAGCATCTTCAGGATGACTGCAATTTATTACACTTGCCTTCTGAAAAGTACTATCTACTCTTTTCCTGTTGATCACATGGTTTATCTAGAAAAAGAGAGTAATACAGAAAATTTATAATAATGAAAAATAAAAGCAGGTGATCAACAGCGGTTTGATTTTGTGTTCATTGTCACATGTTTAAATGATGACCCGGTGAACAGTCGCTTTGATCGTCCTGTCGAAAGAGTAAACCGCCTATAACTTCTGTTTCCCTGCTTTTCAGCCAGCATTCTCCAAGCTATGTCTCTCCTGATCTGTGCAGAAATGTACCAAGTAATGAGACTTCAGCACATCTGTGAGCTTTACATCATCACGCAGCTTCAAAGCATGCCTAGCCGGGAACTGGCATCCACAAGTCTAAGCATCGTTAGCTTGCTCAAAAAAGCTAAGGTATGCGCTGTCTGTATTAAATAAGAATATATAAGTTGACTCTAATTAGTGGGGGGTTTGTTTGGTTTTAAAACATAATTGTTAAGATTTTGAAGATCTTAGCAATTTCCATTCCCAAGGACAAACACAATATGTTGATTAGGGATATCTTGTGGCACAAGGCCAGCTAAAATAAGGCCTTTTCAGCCTTTTATTGCAGGATGTGCAGCTATACCACAATCTGTGCGCTTTCCTTCATCAAGGACACGTTGCGGTAATTCAGCTTAATTGCAACTTCTGCCAGGAAAGATGTGTTTTAGGCAAGTTAAGCTGCACTACTTTTAGTCAAAAAGAAAATTGTCTTGTATGAAAGCAGCAATGAGATCTAACCTGATGGAATATTGAGTGAAATACATAAAGAGCATGAAAAGAAATAAATAGAGGCTGGAAGAAAGAGAGGAAGGGAGAGAGATTTGGAAAACAAAAGAGGAAGATAAAAACTGAATTGTTTACAAGTCGCAGGCAGGATATTGTCTACATGAACAGGATTTTGTGGAGAAAAAGGAGATAACAAAACCAACATGCCACACTCTTTACCTTCCTTTTTCTGAAGCTCTGCTACTATGCAGAAGACAAAAATTTCCAAGACTGATGACCAAAGGAGCCCCAGGCGTTAGGTCACACCACCGGGGGAAGGAGTTTTGTTATTCGTTCTTGGGTTTCCATCCGTTTACATATTTCAGTCAATGACTTTTCCTTCATTATCTCTTACACTCAAAACTTTATTTAGTAAACCTCTATGTTGATGGCAGAAATCTGAAATATTTTGACATGCAAGGCGTGGTTGTGTTTTAGACATGATAGCATTAAGTGTTTTTTGTGTTTCCTTTCTTCTCACAGTTTCACAATTCTGATTGTCTTTCAACTTGGCTTCTTCATTTTATTGCTACTAACTACCTCATCTTCAGTCAAAAGCCTGAATTTCAAGATCTTTCAGGTAATTTATCAATTACTCGTAAAACAAAAAATGTTTTTCAGTTCTGCTTAGATCAGAAGCAAGGTACTGGACAATACTGCTTCTGCATGAGAAGGCGATTAGGACTTCTTTAGGCTACACAATGTAGTCCAGTCCAGAGTCTGTTTGAGCTGGGTGGTTCACCACCCTACTGTAGGACCAGCACGTGACACATGAAGAGCAACATCGCCAGCAACCTCATCCCCTTGTCTTGGTTCCTGTGCTGATGGCCAGGTTCACAGCATAACTGAACCAACTAGGGTGCTTTGGTCATCGTATGTCAACCCCTCCACCTTATGTATATAATTTTGTTTAGTCTGTGCATTTGAATCAATCACTTCTAATACCTGCTCCTTAAGGGTTAGGGTTTTCTTTGAAGCAAACAGGATTCTTACGGTACTTTCCAGCAGATCCTGTGAAATCAAATAACTAATGTCCATTCAAGTAAATAAACCTGGGTTCTTCTGGGGAACTGACATTTATTTCCCTGAACAGTGTATTTTTTTCCTCATGTGTAACTCTAGAAAGTTTTGCTTATTGTCTACGAGTTTTTCCATCACCCTAAGGAACGTGGTCTTGATGGGTGCATCTCTTTGTCCTGTGGTTTGTAGTAAGACTGTTGGTATGGGGTCAGTGTATTCCAGAAGGGGATTTTTCTATCAGTGAGCCAAAGCTCTGTTTGGTCCAAAATACATTAAAGGTCCTCTTTCCTCATTTGAAAAGCTCATAGATGTATGTGTGACGCCAGATGACTTTGTAACTGCTGTGAGCAAACCAAGGAGAGCTAGGTTCTCCCTGCTTTCTTTGGACCTGGAACCCGTCTGTGCACCTTCTGAAACGTCCATTGTTGTATAGCCTGATCTAGATTAAATATGAAAGAGCAGGGCAGCCGTGCTGATGGGCGTCGCCCACCCACGGATTTGGTCCACAGTGGACTCGCTTTGCTTCCCTTCCTGCTGGTTCTGGGGTCAGGATGCATTCAGTAACACCCTGTGGCATCTTCCTCACAACTGGGCTTCAGTCGCAACCACCCTGAGTTTCTCCTGAAGTTGCAGGAATCAGGTTGTCCTCTCCATTTGGTGAAGGTGGGCACTGCATCTGGTTGCCCCTTGGTGAGGCAGGAGATTACAGAGACCCGATGGCTTAGGGTCATTGCAGGGCTCAATCTAGGCACATCTACTTACCCATTTGCAGTTATCTGGTGTCTGCCTCCTTGCTGCAGTTATCCTGATGGATAGCAGGCTGCATATGAGCCCGTCATGAAGCTCAAGGAGTGATGTTTCTGATAAGCATCACTTATCAGCATGTGCTCCGAGTAACTGGGGAGTGAGATGTACAATATCACCATGCTGTGCCATCACCTGGAGTTCCCTCTGTTTTTCCATCCCTTGTGGAACATCCAGGGCTGATGCAGAGCAGCACTAAAGCTGTTGGCTGTCAGATGAGATTTTTGGAGTCTCCGGCTGTTTCAGAAAGCACATTGACTTGAAGGAAAAGGGTACGATGCCAGCAGACTGGTGTCCTTTGAGATTTGGTGTCCACACAACCAGTGCCCTGCCCTTTGCTTTTCTCCTTCCTTTGAGTCCCTTCCACATGGTTAACTGAGGGGTCAACCTGCTCTGCTGCATCAAACTTGCACTGAAGAAGCCGGAGGAAAGAAATACAAAGAAGATGGAGACTCCTTTTTCAGAAGGAGTCCCATGGAGAGGACAAGGGGGCATGGAAACAAGTTGCTCTTGGGGAGATTCTGATGGGATATGAGAAGGAAATTTTTCACCCTGAAAACAGCCAACCGTTGGAATGATCTCCCCGAGGGAGGAGTTGACTCCACCACATTGGACGCTCTCAAGCCTCAGCTGGACAGGGCGCTGGGGCATCTTGTCTGGACTGGGCTCTTGCCTAGAAAGGTTGGGCCAGGTGATCCTTGAGGTCCCTTCCAACCTGGGATTCTAGGATTCTATGAAATAAAAGCACATAAATAAGTACAGGCAGATGGGGTGAAACCGTTCCGCCCCGGGTTGCCAGGGCACAAACACTCAGAGGCACATTCCGACAGGAGCACGCTTCCCAGACAGCAGCAGTGATGGGTGGTTGACCTTTCCTACTCAGGACACCGTAACGCAGCATCACCTCAGGGTTCAGGGCGAGCGACGCAGCAGGAGGCAGTGGCTCTCCAGCATCTTTCTGACTGCTGAATTCCTCAGAAGCAGCCCTGCGCTTTGCCCAGGGCAAGCAGGAGGTGGCTGCCGCTGCCCAGGATCACCGCCGTTTCCCTGGCCTCAGCCCTCCCCAGTCCACAGGCCTCTGCTGTGCCTTGGCCTCTGTCCGGCTTGGTCTGAGCCCCAAAAAGGACTGGGCAACCTCTGCTGCAGGCTGACTTGGGAAAATCCAGGGTAGGGGGGTGAAAGTGCGTATTTCTGCAATGGCATCTGAACAATATGGATAAAAACTCCCTTACACGATCTTGTCAGTGACAAAAAACACGTGGGAGAAAAGATAAAAATCTTGCCGAATTCTTAGTTGCTCTCCTTACCTTGCCTTTGGAATGATCTTGAGACAAACCATGGGCGTAGGGAGTGAGATACCCTCCCTTATAGTGCTGCAGCGTAGGAAAACCCTCGCAGCTGATTGCCACACCTGGTTATCTTCTGAGGATAAAGAATATTCATCTTTGGGATAACCTCTTTAAGGACTATTGTATTTATTTTATTAAGTAATTTATTTATCGCTAACTTAACAGCCAGGGAGCACTGCGTGGTAACTCTTTTGTCCGTACTGTAGCAAGATCTAGGCAGAATGGGTGGTGCTCATCTTTACTCTTCTAGTCGTATTTATTTCCTCAATGTTTTTTAAGCTCTTGTAAAAGCCTTTTTGCAGCCTGTGCCCTTGTGCTCTATGTTTGGGTTTTACCTGTAATTCCTTTATTGCTTTGTTTAGTGGAGGAGCGCAATTTTGTAGAGATGCACAGATGGCCTTCCAATCTGTACCTGAAGCAGCTTGCGGACTACAGGAACTATGTCCACTCCCAGAAATGCCACTGCACAGTAATGTAGAGAAGACCCAACGCAGCCCGAGTGCATCGTGACTGGGAGATCTCAGGCTGGGAATTCTGCGGAGCATAAAAACCGTGTCAGGAGCAAAACCAGATTCTGATCTCCCACGGAACGCTGTATGCCATGCCATACTGCACTTACTAATGCCTCTTGCTTTGATAATAACCCCCCCTACTTTTTTCCTTAAAACACTGAGAAATGTATCATGACAATTTCTTTCAAGCACAAGGGTTTCACACACGTGGGGATTAAGCGTAGTGCGGGACAGTGTCATGACTGCCATCTGGTCCCCCTTCTAATTTCTTTATCAGCTATTTTATTCATTTTCATGGTTATTTTTGGCTGCTAAAAAAGCATCTGTTCAAAACAGATTTTTTGGTAGGTCTGTGTACAACAGGGTCGCGGTAGCAGTGCAGGAAAGCTGAGAAGCCAACTCATAAGTTCTTTAAATATTTCAGAATGCAAAAATTTCCTGCAGTTTCTGTTGGTCTGCAAAATGAAGGGCAGGCTTAATAAGCATTTTAGGTGCTATTCATTTTGTACTTCAGGTTAAGTCTGCAGTTCCTTTTACCGAGACTCTTACAGCCCTTCAAGCGGATATTTTCATTCCAGAGGAATGTCTATGCATGACTATGTTCCCTAGTGCCTCTCAAGTGTCTAAAAAATGAAATAGTTTTTTCTCCCAGTAAACAGGAGAAGAAAGTCTGGTTTAAATAATCTGTGGAACACCTTTGTTAGCATGGTCATATTGCATTTTTTCCCCCTAAGGAAAAAAGTTGGAAAGAACTAAGTCCGCTCAGAGCACATCCAACCCTATGATATTGGTAGGGACTGGTGGGGCTGGGAGGAAAGGGAAGGGGGCCAACTGCCATTATTACGTTTTGTGGGAGCAAATTCACTGGAACCAGTGACTTTTTGGGGAAAAGTGGGTCTCCTAGGTCCCCTATAGT